CGGAGACATTGGCAAGGGGAACCTGCTTAGGGAGTATTTAGTTGCTGTTAGATCCCAGATTCTTAGGGAGTTCGTTTTTGCTGGGCAGGTCACTCTAGGGATTGCTCTGTGTGTCCTGTGTAACCAGGGGTAGAACTGCGGTAGATCTTGCCCCATTAGTGAGGTTTCAAGTTCTACCCATCGACGCATGTCCGGCGTGGAGTGTCAATATGCTATTTGCGCAGTCTGCGCTGCTAGATAGTAGAGGTACATGTTCGGTAGTCCCAGTCCCCCTCTGTCTTTGGGTCTATACAAGAGTTTCCTGGCTATTCTGGGTCGTTTCTTTTGCCAGATGAACATATCTATAGCTTTTTGTAGTGTGGCTAAGTCGCTCCTCCTGTGTGGGCAGGGCCTGGAACATGAATAGTAACCTGGGTAGAATATTCATCTTAATTGAGTGGAGCCGTCCTAGCCATGAAATGGGTTTGTCCGTCCACTGCTCTAGGTCTCTCAGGAGTGTACGGAGCAGTGGGGAGTAGTTAGTGTCGTGTAGGAGTTCGTATTGTGCAGTAAGTTTGTCCCCTAGATAGGGTATGTTATTAGCTGTAATGGGTAGTCAGTATCTGTCGTGTATTATGGTTTTATATTGGGTCCGAATGTGGAATGGTAGTGCCATGGATTTGACCAGGTTCACTCTATAGCCCGCAAGAGACTTTGAAGGTTTTCCCTGCTACCCTTATTCCATGTATGTGTGGGTGTTGGCGTATGGCTTGTAGTAGTGGTTCTAGGGAGATGGCGAAAAGCAGTGGGGATAGGGGGCATCCCTGGTGTGTACCGCTATGAAGGTGGAAAGGGGTCTTAGTGGCTCCTGCTATCAGGGTTTGGGCTCTCAGGTTGGTATAGAGGGCTCGCGTGGCCTAGATGTAGGCTCCTGGGAAGCCCCATTCTTCCAGTAGGCCAAACAAATATGGCCATTGCACCCTGTCAAAGGCCTTCTCTGCGTCCAGGGAGATGGCCAGTGAAGGCTGTTCAGACTTTTGCATGTACCATGCGAGCACCACCCCCCTTCGTGTGTTTTCATAGAGTTGTCTACCGGGGATGAACCCCACTTGGTCTGGGTGGATTAAGTGTGTTAGCATCGGCGCCAGCCTGGTCGCCAGGATTTTTGCATATATTTTAAGGTCCGCGTTGATCAGCGATATGGGCCTGTAGTTCGATGCGAGCTCAGTGTCTTTCCCGGGTTTCGGGATAAGTGCAATGTTGGCTAGTGCCATGTCGGCATCAGGTGCGCCTCCAGTCATAAAGTGGTTATATAGGGAAGTGAGTTCTTCTTTGAATTTCTTGTAGTACCCTATTTCGTAACCGTCGGGGCCTGGGGCTTTGTTACCTTTCAGGATCGCTATAGCGGTTTCTAATGCTAATTGGGAGATGGGTTCTTGTAGGGTCATGATGTCAATATCTGGTATCTGAGGTAGCTTGATGTTGGTAAGGAATGTGCGTAGTGAGTAACGTTGTTGTTCCGGTGTGTGTTGTGAGTGGTGGGCCTGCCCATAGAGGTTCGAGTAGAACTCTGTGATACCCTGTTGATATCTTGGGGGGTCGTCGCTAATGTCTGGGTGGGTGTGCGTAGTCTCGTGATGGGTTTGTGGTCCCCGCGGGGGCGCAGTGCTCTGGCTAGTAGGGAGTCCATTTTGTTGGACTTTTCGTAGAACAGCCGTCTAGATCTCTGGATGGAGTGTGCTACCCCCTCGAGCAGGATCCCCTTAATTGAGTGCCGTAGAGCGGTAAATTCCGCTAGTTTTTGTGGGGTTTTGTTTGTGCTGATGTTCCGCTTTTCTCAAAGCGTTTTGAAGGTCTATTAGTGCTCGGGTGTTGCATTTCTTTTTATATGTTGCTGCTCTAATGAAGTGTCCTCTCAGGACTGCTTTGTGGGCTGCCCATAGTGCTACTGGGTCCACCTCGGGTGTGGTGTTTTGAGTGAAGTATTCTGTAAGTAAGGTACGCGTGTCTTCGCATATAGTGTCACTATTTAATAGGCTTGTGTTAAGGCGCCAGGTCCATGTGGCGGAGTATTTGAGTTTGTCCAATGCAATTGATATGTCCGCATGGTCTGACCAAGTGATACTGCCTATGTCAGTGTGCACGAGCTTGGACATCCCTACTCCGTTGAGAAAGATGTGATCAATTCTCGAGTATGTGCCGTGTGGCGCCGAATAGTACGTGTAGTCACGTGTGTCTGGGTGCTGGGGCCTCCAGGGGTCTAGAAGCTGCGTGTTCGTGAGCAATGTGTGCAATAGTTTGTCCTGTGCTCCTCTCCCTTGGGACCTGGGTGACCCTGTTTTTGTGCTTCTGTCGATTGCCGGACTTGGCACGGCCTTAAAGTTGCCCCCCACCAGCGTAATCCCTCCCCCTTCAGCGTTAATTATCGTCGTGAGCGTGTCCCAGTATATAAGATCTGGTATGTTAGGCGCATACACATTAATGATTCTTATTTTTGTATTGTGTATGGTGCCTGTTATTACGATGTAGCGGCCCTCTGGGTCAGCTAGCGTCCCTGTCACCTGTAGCGGGCAGTTTTTGTGCACTAATATTGCTACTCTGGCGCGTTTGTGTAGCGCTCTCGCTTCGTGGGTCTGTGGGAAGTATCTGTCTTTCAGGGTTACTAATGCTGTTCTGGGTATGTGGGTTTCTTGTATGAGGGCAATGTCTGTCTTTCGTGATTTCAGATCCCTTAACAGTAACCTGCGTTTGTTCGGGGTGTTCAGCCCCTTAACGTTGAGAGAGGTCATTTTCAGGGCCACGTGTAGGGTGGGGCTCTAGAGGTGTGGTGGTGTGTTTGTGTGAGCACCTACTTTGTTGTGTGATCTGTTTCCCACTTTCCGTGGTTGGATCCCCCTCGCCCAAGCCGTGGGCAGCAGCAGTAGTGGTTTGTGGTGTGTCCTTGTCTGTGGAGACGTTTCGCAGAGAACCTTTACTGCGGAAGGAAATTACACCGTTAGCAATTGAAAGATAAACATAAACATACATAAACAAAAACGAAAAACAGAGATGAAAACTCTGGTCTTACACCCTGCCAGAGATGGCTGAGGGCGTGGGTTTTCCCTGTCCGGGTGGTGTATAGGTCCGGACGTATCAGTACAATAATGTACGGTAATTCTAGGTTGTGTGTCTTTGATGGTATTGCTGGGGTGTTGGGGCCTCTGTAAAGGCGCCGGTCGAATTCAACCTGCACTGGTGCAGGTGTCAATGCGAATGTGCTAGCAGGCGTCGCCGGCTCTGAGGCAGTGTGTGGTGTGGCGATGATGGTGCAGCTGATGTGGCTGCTAGGGTGTGTGTGCTGTATCGTTGGTGTGTGGCACGCGTGTGTCGGTGGGCAAGCAGGCACTTGCAATTGTCATGTTCGTTTGGAGCTGGGGTTGAACCTAAGTTCAGTTTTCTTTATGGGGTATGGTGTGTTGTAAGGGTGTAGGCTAGGTTCCCGGGTGGGTGCGTCTTTACGACCTCAGTTCAGTTGAGAGCAGAGATATTGGTGTGCTTTTTTTTTTTTTTTTTGGTTGTTTCACCCCTCTCTGATGTACCTTTGTATGTGTGTGGGGATGTGACAAGCGGCTAACAGCTATGTCTCCCCTTTGTGTAGTTGGGGGGTGGCAGGCAGCCTGTGTCTCTAAGTGCTACAGTGCCCCAAAACCTAACCGGTAAACATATACCATACGACCTGGTTTGTGAATGTCTTTCTTCTGCCTCTTTGTGGTTGTGAGGGGCGATTGGTAAATAAAGTCTCAGTGACAGGCTCCTTTTGGGGGGTGAGCGTCGTCTTTGTTCCCTTGGGTGTTGAGCCAAGGACTGCGCTGGGTCCATGGCATACCAGTCCATTATGCGTACCTCAGTGAGTTTCAGTGCTCTTATGAATGGCAGCATGTCTTTATGTTCTGCTATGGTGTGGTTGGTCCCTTTGAGCGTGACAATGAGGGCTAGGGGAAAGCCCCATCGATATTTGATGTTTCTAGCGCGCAGTTGGTCTGTGACCGGCTTTAGTTGACGCCTTGCCTGGAGGGTGAGCCATGAGAGGTCTTGATAAATCTGAAACTCGTGCCCATGGAACAGTAGCGGCGGAGTAGTATCTCTTAACTTCTTCAGTATTCAGTCTTTGTCTGCGAAGTAGTGCAGGCGGCATATGATATCTCTTGGGGCGTCCCTGTTATTGCTTTTGGGTCTGAGTGAGTGGTGTGCTCTGTCAAAGTGGATCGGTGTTGATGGTGGTTTCTCTAATAGTAAATTAAACAATTCTTGCAGTGATGCTGGAATGTTTTCAGCCTCCTTTTCGGGTAGACCCTTAATTCTGAGGTTGTTTCTGCGCCCCCTGTTGTCTATGTAATCCAGCGATCTTTGGAGCTGAGACATGTGAGTTTCATGGCCTTCTAAGCAGTCTGTCAGGGTCGTCATTTGGGTCTGTATCCGTCCCCTGTCTCCCTCTAGGTCTTGGACGCGGAGGCCTACCTGCCGGATTTTGGCTCCCAGACCCTCCATCTTGTGCTGGAAGGAGGATTCCAGTTTCTCCAGCATGGTGGCGAGGTCTGCCTTGGAGGGGAGATTTTGAAGCAGGACCTTTATATCTTGGTCTGCAGGGGCTGCTGAGACCTCGGAAGTAGCCGGGCTAGGCGGGTTGGAGAGGTGCTCTCCTGCCATCGGCGCCATGTTTGCCTCCCCTTGATCCGGCATGCGGCCGGCACAGTCTTTAAATAATTGCGATACCGGCCGCGGTTTTTCAGCGGGTGCCTTCCCGCTGCTTGTGTGGGCGCTTTGCGCCCGTTTGGGATTCCCCATGTGTGTGGGTGTTCGTCCCCCCGCTGTGTTTAGTGCCTGCGGTGCCGGAGCCGACCTAACATGCGGCCATCTTCATCGACGGTCGGCCACGCCAGCAAATGTATTATTAATGATAGAAATGTGTTAACCTTCTATACAATGCCCAGTAATGTATTAGAAAGTGGTACAGCAATATCATTGGATCATATATAAAACAGGATTCAAGACATACCAGTAGAAGGACTTACAAACACCAACAACAAGAGTTACAAACACCAACAACAGGAGTTACAAACACCAACAACAAGAGTTACAAACACCAACAACAGGAGTTACAAACACCAACAACAAGAGTTACAAACACCAACAACAGGAGTTACAAACACCAACAACAAGAGTTACAAACACCAACAACAGGAGTTACAAACACCAACAACAAGAGTTACAAACACCAACAACAGGAGTTACAAACACCAACAACAAGAGTTACAAACACCAACAACAGGAGTTACAAACACCAACAACAAGAGTTACAAACACCAACAACAGGAGTTACAAACACCAACAACAAGAGTTACAAACACCAACAACAGGAGTTACAAACACCAACAACAAGAGTTACAAACACCAACAACAGGAGTTACAAACACCAACAACAAGAGTTACAAACACCAACAACAGGAGTTACAAACACCAACAACAAGAGTTACAAACACCAACAACAGGAGTTACAAACACCAACAAGAGTTATTATCACCAATAACACAGGAGTTACAAACGCCATTTACAGGACGTACAAACACCAAATTACAGGAGTTACAAACACCATTTACAGGACGTACAAACACCAAATTACAGGAATTACAAACACCAGATATTCCAGGAAATGGCTTTCTGTACAAGGTATCAGATAGACTGGAAGCAATTCTCTCAGTTGAGATAATAAATGTCTTTCTACCAATTGCAGACAAATGATTATTTCCCGAGTCAGCTGCTGTGAGCGAGCTGTCCATGGTACCAATGATTGGCAGTAGCTCTCTCTGTGATGTACAGCATGTGGTTAACTCAATGACACAATGTGTGTATAGCTATCTCCATGTGTGTGTATGTATGTATCCATGTGCTAGGCTGTCTCTGTCATATGATATATGTCTGTGACAGTCTCTGTGATAAGATGTATGTCTGTTTCTGTCATGTGATATATGTCTGTGTCTGTGTCTGTCTCTGTCATATATGTCTGTCTTCGTGATAAGTTGTATATCTGTTTCTGTCATGTGATATATGTCTGTGTCTGTCTCTGTCATATGATGTATGTCTGTGTCTGTCTTGCCCATGTGACATATGTCTGTGACTGCCTCTGTGATAAGATGTATGTCCGTGTCTGTGTCTGTCTCTGTGATAAGATGTATGTCTGTGTCTGTCTCTGTCATATGATATATGTCTGTGTCTGTCTCTGTCATGTGATATATGTCTGTGTCTGTCTCTGTGATAAGATGTATGTCTGTGTCTGTCTCTGTCATATGATATATGTCTGTATCTGTCTCTGTCATGTGATATATATCTGTGTCTGTCTCTGTGATAAGATGTATGTCTGTGACTGTCTTTGTGATAAGATGTATGTCTGTGTCTGTCTTGCTCATGTGATAAATGTCTGTGTCTGTCATATGATATATGTCTGTCTGGCTTCCTGTTAAGATGAATGTATGGGACTGTCTCTGTGATAAGATGTATGTATGTGTCTGTCTCTGTCTCTGTCATATGTTATATGTCTGTATCTGTAATAAGATGTATGTCTGTGTCTCTCTGTGGTAAAATGTCTGTCTGTCTGTCTGTCTGTCTCTGTGATAAGATTTATGTTTAAAAAAGGTAGAGGGGGTGACAGCGCCACAGGTGAAAAAAACCTGATTATAAACTATACAAGCATATATACAAGACACTACATAAGAGAGAATACATATAAGATAAAAAAAAAAAAAGAGTTGGAAATATAGATAATTAATAATATTCAGGAGTCCAACTTCAGTTACTCACATTTTATTGAGCAGGCAGACTGCTCAATGAATAACGCTTGAGTGGTATAATCCCCACCAAGGAATCTTTGGAGTAAAATTCTCGCTGGAACAATAAAAACTCTGGTGCCAGGTAAAAATAAAGGTATAAATAAATAATTAAATAAATAAGTAAAATGGCAGATTTACAAGTTGAAAGTGGCCAAAATACCATTAATAAAATACAGCAATTAAAATACCACAATGCGTTTCTCCCCTTAGGGCTTTCCTTAGCCAGTCTTCTCCCAGCATTAAGCCCTGGCTCATGTGTGGTGGTTATGCTACACCAGCTATATTTTACCTGTGGGATTATTTGCTTGTTTATATTGGAGAAAAGGTATGCGTGGTGGTGATACCTTGGCAGACCGCCACATTTGGTGGCAGCGACGGGATCGTCCCTTTTTCCTGGATTTATAATCCGAGGTTGGCACTGGAGTACAGTGAATGGAAGGCTGGTACACGCAACTCAAGCGCAGCACCTTAAAGGAATTTGTAGTGGAGAGCTGATATCCCACAGACTAAATCCGCTACAGATCCCAGTATGGCTCAGGAACAAGTAAATAATCCCAGGTAAAACATCCACAGTGACAATCCAGCAGCGTAGCAAGCACAATCAGTAATATAATCCCATCACCTTTCCCAATAACTGGACGACACACAGTATTAGGAGCAGAACTGACCTTTAATCACACAACCCCTGCTTTTATGCAATCCTCCCATGCAAGGGAGACACCCACAATAATTAATACAGTAACCAATTAGGTATAAGGTACAACCCACACATCTCCTCCCCTCAGATTATCAGTTAACATAATTAAAAGTTACACAATATACTTCCCCCACGTTCTGGATGTACCCCAAATGCCTATGGTACACCCCTAATCTGGGTAAGTTACATACTCAAAAATTTCCCAGATCGGACCAGGGGTTCGGGAGTTATGGAGGGATAAAGTTTTGACCGACCGCACAGGCAACAGTAGCTGAAAACAGTTCCATAAGTTTTGGCCTTGCGGTCAGTCTCTGTTCATGCTTTAAAAGTCCTGAACTAAATGCCATCCAGAGCTGGGCAGGCATTCGGATGAATCCACGTGTTCGTGGGATTCATCCTACCAAACAGTGGGCCGTTCGGGAGTTTCTATCGGTCTTTTCTGTAGCTCTGGAGGTCTCAGCGGTGTTTGCTTAGTCGAGAGCCCGATTAGGGTTCCAAATACTTGACGTTCAAACACCACTATTCGGGAGTTTAAGATGGCCGCTGCCACGTGTTCGGCTCCCGAAATGGCGGCCACCCAGGGACTGCAACAAAGCGTTCATGAGTTTTAAGTGAGAGGGAATAAAATGAACAGGAGGTAGATTGAAGCCACACTTCGCATCAGGGTGGTCCGGTGATTCGGTAGTTTTAGATCGTATGCCGAATGGAGTGGTTCACTACAGTCTATGGGAAATAATTAGACAAATGCTTTAAATCCACACAAACGTCTTTATAAGTGATTCACACGAAAGTCTTGGGGATCAAGTGACCAGTAAACGGGGAATATGCTGGACAGCCAGGTGGACTCTGTTACATAATTACTGGAGGTTCGTGGTGGCATTGCCAGCAAGAAAGCCAAGCATCTTATTATAAGCGAGCTGATGGAGTTGGACGGAGAGAACTTGGCCGTGGAAAGTACTGTTTAGCGCATTTAAAATGTTTGACGAAGCCACAGGCAAATTAACAGCTACCTAGCTGATTTCGAGAAACAATGTGCCCTCCACAAAGTAGCGGAGGAGGAATGGGTCCCTATTTTAGCCTGAGAATTCTCTGGCAAGGCGGCGGATGCCTTCAGGGCCATTCCAGACCATGAAGTGAACAGCTACGAGCGGGTGAAAGAAGCCCTCTTAGCCAGGTACGCAGTAACCCCGGAAGTGTGCCGGCAAAAGATCAGAGACTCCAGAAAGACAGATACTGACTCTTTCATGGAGTGGGCTTACTGGCTGCACCGAACGGCCACCACTGGATTAATGGCTGTCAGGCTACCACGTTGGAAGACTTGTTGCAGTTGATGTTACTAGGGCAGTTTTTCAACCTGCTCCCATTAAAGACTGGGTGAGAGACTGTCAACCCCTTACTCTCTCCGAGGCAGCCGGGCTCACAGACGAGTACACAGATGCTTGTAGGCTAGAGTGGTCTCACCCAAGAGCTCAACCTTTCCGAATCAAGTCGCCAGCACTGATCACAGGGGGGAGCTATCAGCCTCCTCCTTGACCCTCTCCAACGGTGTATAGACCACCCCAAAAGACCGGTCCCCGCTGCTACCGGTGCAAGCAAGTGGGACACTACCGCAAAGATTGTCCCCTAGAACCACCCAGAGCCAACTTGACCTGGCTAGCGATCCAAAACCAACGGGCGGCTGCACACTGCATGGACTACCCTGTTCCCACCTCCTGGGAAGACTAGTGCCTTACTCGGGATGAACCCCTGGGATTATAGTATAGTATAGTAGTTCTGATTCAGAAAAAAACATCACTTTTAATAATTGTAAAGAAAAAAAACACAATATTCACATTGTGGCGGTCTGGATAGGTATCACCGTCTTGCATACCCTTTTCCCATAAAATAATACGCCCATAATCCACAGGTTCCAATATCGCTGGTGTCGCATAATTACCTACACATGAGCCAAAGCTTAATGCTGGGACAAGACTGGTTTAATGAGAACAAAGACATTCAATTTATACAGTGTATAACTCTTCCTCTGAGCCAGCGAGATAATTGAGTTTAGAGAACATACTAAACTCAATTATCTACTGGTCAGAAAAAGTGACATTTTTCACAACTTCTGGAAATACCCTGTAGCGGAGCGCTAATTTAACATGGACTTTTCTCTGCTGGTATTCCAATAGTTACTCAGGATCAAGTAGGTTATCATAAGAAGAACAGCATAAGCAGTAAATAAAGTAATCCACTAATCTCTGTGAAGAAACCCCCCTGTTCCCTATGTTCCCTATGTTACTGTTTGCATTCCCTTTTTATCTCCATTTCTGCCTATTGCATTCGGTAGATGGGACTACCGAACAAAGACCACCCCTCTGGTTCATTAAACATCAAAGTTTGGGTGAAATTGCTACCTCTGTCTGTGCGGCCAGCGTTCGTTAGTCGAACGCCACATGGCAGAGAAAACCGCGTCCATCTTTGTTCATGCGAACAAAGGCAGCGGGACCTGGTCGTCGAGTGCATGGAACTGAAAACGGACACTCGACTTCCCGAACACCGGTCCCAAACAGATGAACGCTGGAACTCTATTTACCGAATAGCTAGAAGAGCGCTATTCGGTACTGTAACGGGCCGTTTTGCTCACCAAAGGTTAAAAACCGTTTAGGCGATATTCCCCTTTCCAGATACACCGACAGCTACTGTAAGCACCGATCTCCCGAACTGGAAACACATGAACACTGGAAATATCCGAACAGGAAAACCATGCGAAAGGGTTACACTCCTGGCAGTCAGCATACAATCCAATTCCCCCAATAACGAAACGACACTTCGTTTTGAGGGTTAAGCAGAATCTGCAGATTTATTCACACAACCTCCTTTTAAGACATTCTTCCATGCAAGGGAGGGATCCACAACAATTAGTACCCCAGCCAATAATGTACCAGTTACCTCCCACACATCTCCTCCCCTTAGTGTGACACATAATCCCATTAGTACAGACACAAATTCCCTGGGTTACTGGATGTACCCCTAAACATAGGGTTACCCCTTTAAATGTTACATCCCCTGGTAGCCCTGATCTGGGTTAGACACTGTGACGGACCGCTGGCACTCCGACTGAGTACCTCCGCCAATCGATGCTCCTAGTGCTCGCTGAGGACTCC